CTTACCCCTTTCATTTTACCTACTGCCTCACGAACTTTCCCCCACACTCACAACTGGCTCTTCCTCACTCCTACAAGATGTTATTCCTCCTTGCCCTATACACGAAATCACAGCTTCCCTATCTTCATCAACATTTAACAATTCCTCAAAATATTCCTTCCATCTTCCCAATACCTCTAACTCTCCATTTAATAACTCTCCTCTCCATTTTTAACTGACAAATCCATTTGTTCTCTAGGCTTTCTTAACTTGTTAATCTCACTCCAAAACTTTTTCTTATTTTCAACAAAATTTGTTGATAACATCTCACCCACTCTCTCATTTGCTCTCTTTTTACATTGCTTCACCACTCTCTTAACTTCTCTCTTTTTCTCCATATACTCTTCCCTCCTTGCATCACATTCTACTTTGTAAAAACTTCTCATATGCTAACTTTTTCTCCCTTACTACTCTCTTTACATCATCATTCCACCAATCGCTCCTCTTCCCTCCTGCACCCACTTTCCTGTAACCACAAACTTCTGCTGAACACTAACACTACATTTTTAAACCTACCCCATACCTCTTCGACCCCATTGCCTATGCTCTCATTAGCCCATCTATCCTCCAATAGCTGTTTATATCTTACCCTAACTGCCTCCTCTTTTAGTTTATAAACCTTCACCTCTCTCTTCCCTGATGCTTCTATTCTCCTTGTATCCCATCTACCTTTTACTCTCAGTATAGCTACAACTAGAAAGTGATCTGATATATCTGTGGCCCTCTATAAACATGTACATCCTGAAGTCTACTGAACAGTCTTTTATCTACCAATACATAATCCAACAAACTACTGTCATTTCGCCCTACATCATATCGTGTATACTTATTTATCCTCTTTTTCTTAAAATATGTATTACCTATAACTAAACCCCTTTCTATACAAAGTTCAATCAAAGGGCTCCATTATCATTTACACTGGCACCCCAAACTTACCTACCACACCCTCTCTAAAAGTTTCTCCTACTTTAGCATTCAAGTCCCCTACCACAATTACTCTCTCACTTGGTTCAAAGGCTCCTATACATTCACTTAACATCTCCCAAAATCTCTCTCTCTCCTCTGCATTCCTCTCTTCTCCAGGTGCATACACGCTTATTAAAGACCCACTTCTCGCATCCAACCTTTACTTTAATCCACATAATTCTTGAATTTACACATTCATATTCTCTTTTCTCCTTCCATAACTGATCATTTAACATTACTGCTACCCCTTCCTTTCTCTAACTCTCTCAGATACTCCAGATTTAATCCCATTTATTTCCCCCCACTGAAACTCTCCTACCCCTTCAGCTTTGTTTCGCTTAGGGCCAGGACATCCAACTTCTTTTCATTCATAACATCAGCAATCATCTGTTTTTTTGTCATCTGCACTACATCCACGCACATTTAAGCAACCCAGTTTTTATAAAGTTTTTCTTCTTCTCTTTTTTAGTAATTGTATACAGGAGAAGGGGTTACTAGCCCATTGCTCCCGGCATTTTAGTCGCCTCATACGACACGCATGGCTTACGGAGGAAAGATTCTTTTCCACTTCCCCATGGACAATAGAAGAAATAAAAAAGAACAAGAGCTATTTAGAAAAAAGAGAAAAACCTAGATGTATGTATATATATATATATGCATGTGCGTGTCTGTGAAGTGTGACCAAAGTGTAAGTAGGAGTAGCAAGATATCCCTGTTATCTTAGCGTGTTTTTATATTATTTGTATAAATAAGTCACCATGGGGCCTAAGAGGGTTAGTGATAACAGCCAACCAAAAAGAAAGTTGGTTAGGAAAAATTCGTTTTGTACTCAAACAGATCGGCACTCAAACAGCCTTCTGAAACCAATTAAGTTTGAGTGCCAAGATTCCACTGTACCTTAGAAATGGGATGGCAACTCCAATTCTTTGGATTAAGAGCACTTCAACATCAAAACACCCCATGAAAATTAAATAACCTGATGACTTCCCTCTCCCTCCCTCAAGAAAAATAGTTGATATTTAAATTATGCAATATTTTTATGCAATTGTTTAATTTCTCACCAAAACTATCCTAGCCTAATTTTCCTAAAATTTAAAATATGTTAAACCCTTGGTATAACGAACTAAGAGGGAGGACTGGGTGGCCAATAACGGTAGTTGTGGTGGCTAGAGAAGAGATGTTTTGTTGTGATAGTAACAATAATGAACAATTCTATAAACAGTAAACATTGCCCATTGTTTCCAAAATGACTGACATGGTAGATTTTGCATCAAATTTCCAAACTCCATTATAGAGAGATTTATTATATGAAGGGTTTACTGAGTAAAATCATTTTCAGGTGATCGAATCACTGTGGCCTAGTGGCAATAGCTCTCACTTCACACACTGAGGGTCCAGGTTCGATTCCCGGCAAGGGTGGAAACACTGGGCATGTTTCCTTACACCTGTTGTCTATGTTCACCCATCAGTAAAATGGGTACCTGTGGTGTTAGCCAACTTAATCACCCTAGACTAAACGCTAAATACTCAGTACACACATAGTACTCGCTTATGTACTCCCACATCATCACTTCAATTGTCACTTTGAACCTTTTATCCATTGTTGACAGGAATATAAATGAATCATTGTTTTCAAAAAAAGCATTTTAGAATATGTGAATATATCTTTTGTCTTATACAAATTTGATTCACTTATAATTAATAATCAATTGTACAACTATGAAATAATTACTATTCTACTGTACAACTATGATATAATCCTTAGTGTTAAGTAATCTGTAAGCCAATAATGTTAAATTGGCCCATAATGCCAAGGCATAATAGAGGCTCTCTTTGCATTACAACCCACTATTGTAAATACAAAATCTCAATGTACTGTTGCAAAAACATAAAATAAATAAGTAAATAAATAAATATATAAATACTGGTGTGGGTTGCATCCTGGGGACAAAACTGACCTAATTTTCCCAAAATGCTCTGCATAACAAGTGGCTTTCTATATAGTAGTATGTCAATGATGTTAACTAAGCCTGTATACCTTGTACATGTACTTATAGAAAATAAAGAAATTAATATTATTATTATTGGCTGGGCACAGCAAGAGCTTATAATGTTTGGTCACAGAAAATAATGAATGACCATAGTTAGAAGCAAAAAACTACAACATGACAGAGCTTATGGCTCAGTTTGTAGCATCCTCAGATCACATGCTGAGACTGGGGATATCTCCCCAGAATGAGTGAAACATTGGCCATATATCCTTACACCTGATGCCCCTTTTCACCTAGCACCGAGTAGGTAACATGGGGGTGTTAATCAACTATTATGGGTTGCACCTTTGGGGAAAAAGATTAAAGGATCCCATTGGAAATAGACCAACAGTCCCCAATGATTCTCAGACTTTACTGAGTTATCCTGGGTTGCTAACTATCTGGGTTAAAAATTCAAACAAATCTTATTTTAAAAAAGAAAGTGACATTACACTGAAGGTAACCATTATTAACAGATGAAATAAAACTGGATTTTTAACCCAGAGGTTTAACCACCCAGTGCATCACTGGAGACTGTCTGGCTTATTTTTACCAGGGTCCTTTAATCTTGTTCTCCAGGATGCGACCCACAACAGTCAACTACCACCCAGGTACTTACTAGCTGTTAGGTGACCATACAGGGGCAGTAGGTGTAAGGAAAAAATCCTGTGTTTCCACCCATGATAAATAAGACTTGTGCAACACTTGTTATCTTTATTGTGAAGATACCTAGGTGCTGCACATATCTTATTTATCAAGAAAGTGACATTTTATGATGACTTAACCTAGTTAGTATACCCCAATATTTCCTCAAGAGGATTTTAATTCATCAGTTAAAGTTTTGTTCAGATTTTTAACCCAGAGTTAGCCACCTAGAATAGCCCCGAGTCAGTGCATCATAGGAGACTACCATCTTATTTCATTAGCCTTCTCAAAATAAAACCATAAATGAGCACTACCTCTTCTCGTAAAATCAAGCATGCCTCAATAATCACTGGGATAGTAAACAAACAGTTCACATTTGTCTGGCCTCATGCCATGCCCAGTTGAAGAACGATATAACCCATCATGAAATACTGCAAATGTGAAATTACTTAGTAAGTTTATTCAGGTACATATACACACAAATACAGTTACATAAATTATCATACATAGCAGCATATGTGTAGATTACCTAAGATAACTTAAAACGTGCAGACTTAGCTATTAATATGAACCTTCTTGATAATGAATAAGCTTAATCTAGGCTATGTACCAAGTGTTTAAACAGACATATTTTTATTTTTCACAATGGTTGCATAATGGACTTTGTGGGCATATAATATGGGTTGATATTTAATTTAAGATAACCCAACTCAGACAGTATGTCTTAAAGGTTAGAACATGAATATTTTCCCTCAATGGAAACAAGTCACTTTGTCTCTGACTTTTTTGGGGGGTCATCGAAGGTAATTTGCATATGTTAGTATGTATGTGAACCTTTAACTAAATAAACTAACTTACATTTCAACTGTAACAGAACACTAGTGATAATGTGAACCTAAAAGAATATTATTTATATAATTACTATTATTATAATGTGGATTCATATAGAATTTAGAAATAGGGAGATTATCTGATTTGATCCAAGAAAGGGGTCAGAACTAATTCCTTGGATCAAGAACCCTTCACATACATTAAGGCAACTACCTGAGGAAATATTATTAATACTCCCCCCCCCCCCCCGAGGCGCTGCAAAATCTGAAGTGAGGCAATCATATAGCATTCAAGAGAAGGACAAATCCAATTCCTTGGATCAAGAGCCGCTCAGCAGCATCCAGGAACCTGACTTTAGGGAGGGAGGGATGGTAGGGAATGGTAATGGATGGTAGGGGATGGGTGGGTGACAACAGCAGCCATGGGGGATACCTGGTCCTCCCCATGGCTTCTCCCACACCATTACAACACCAATATACACTTCCTTACCCTGCCAAGCCGCCGAACAAGAATTTGATGCTATTAGGAATGGTAGTTTTAGGTTTTTGATCCATGGTGCGGCTGTGCTGGTGACCGGCTGGAGAGAGTCAGTCGCCTCACCTCGTCTATATGACCTATAACAAGTGCTCTATTTACCCCCAAATCATTGCCAAATATGTAAATTTTACATATTCATTATATGTATTAGTACCACCTTTAAATGATGTCATATAATGTTGACAAGTCTTAATTACTTATTCATGTATTATCTAACAAAATTCTACATCACTGGAAGTCTACACTCCCAGGAAAAAACATTCAAATTTTGTTATATAACATTTCTGAACCTTATTTCCTGATTAATGGACATATTAGTAAGATATTATCTAGGGTTTGGATACATAATAAACATTGTTTAAATTGTCTTGATTGCTTATACACCGTTATTAAGGCCATATAAGAAGAAACAGTATGCAGATTTAACCCATTAGTACAGTTTGAATATTTTCTTTATATGACTTACTACAGTTGCTGATTTTAATTTTTATTTTTGTATGGAACTCATTATTATACGTATATGTATGTTAATGTTATTACATATCCACGCAACTCATAGTATTAATATACTTCCCAGGTCATCTGTACTGTTAATGAGGGCAGGAGCTTATATATTAATTACTAAGTAACTAAGTTTATTCAGGTATACACAAATACACTTACACAGATTATCATACATAGCAACATATGTGTAAAGAACTTATGATAACCCATTATTATTATTATTATCATGGGAGAGCGCTAAATTCAGTCATGTACTTATATATCTGTTATATCTATGTGACTCTGATGGGTTAGTCTTATACCCCTTAAATAAATATATTATCATTTTACGTGCACTTTTTAAATTGCACCAAAGTGGTTGGGCCACTTACCTTTATATCCTACCTCTCACCCCCCTCCCACCCTTTTCCAATATTTCCATCCTTACCCATCCTTCTTCCTTCCCCATCTCACCAAAGCTCTGGTCTGAACAATCGACAATCGAGATCAAGAACCCCTCACCAGCATCAAGGAACCTTCCATGCGGGGTATGATACCCCTCAAAAAAGTCAGAGTGATTTATTTCCATTGTGGTCCTTTGTAAGTAAGTTTATTCAGGTATACACAAATGCAGTTACATAGAATTATCATACATAGCAGCATATGTGTAGAGAACCTAGGATAACCCAGGTTCTCTACACATATGCTGCTATGTATGCAGGTATAAGCAATCTGAGAGGATTTCAATGTGTGTAGTTTCTGAACATTAAAATGGTATAAAATACCGACAGGTTGTTAGGTAGGACACATATGCAACATTTAGGTATCTTTATTTCGAAACGTTTCGCCTACACAGTAGGCTTCTTCAGTCGAGTACAGAAAAGTTGATAGAAGCAGAAGATACTTGAAGTATCTGAAGTACTTCAAGTATCTTCTGCTATGTGTCTTACCTGTGTAGTTTCTCTTATTTATTATTACATTCATGGGGAAGCGCTAAACCTGTAGGGATCATACAGCGTCAGGGGAGAGGAGAGCAAATCAGGTTCGATCCAAGGAAGGAGGGGGGAAGCCACATCCAGTTCCTTGGATCAAGAGCCCCTCAACAACGTCAAGGGACCTCCATTAGAGGGAATTAATTTTTATAAATTTCTTAATCAAAATAAAAACAGAGAAAACAGTTTACGGTGTAGCATCAGACATATAGATCAAGGGCAATATATATTGTTTGAGAAAGTGATTTTGTGTCAGAGCCATGTAACATCTGCATAGAATTTTTACGTTATAATTAAAGCCTCTGTGATGCTAAAATATATACTATTTGAATTTCATTTGATTTTTGATACAAAATATATATTATATTTAATTTAAAAGTACGAATGAGAATTATAAATGGCTTACAAGCCAAAAAGTATATGGCAACTCCAGCATTTAGAACACTTAACATTTCTTAGTCTATATTATTGAAATATAATTGCTAATATTTAAATAAATTAGTATGTATAATAGATTAATAATAATTACTTAGTACCTAAGAATTATATAAATCTTCGTTAAATGAGTGTAAAAATTAGATAGAGGATAATGAGTGTAATGTTGGGTGTTGTGTTGAGTGTTGTGTAAGACACCTCGTCCTGTCTGACCTTGGTCACCACCCAAGGTGAGTCTCACACTTATCTTCTTTATCGTTTTTCACCTTTATTTTCTCTTGTCATTGTTATTGAGAGTAGTTTATTGGCGTGTTACGTTCCATTTGTTTTACTCTTTGTATCTAGGCTATGGGTAGAAGTCTAGTTACCATCATTTTTCGAAATTCTTGGAGCCGGCACTGTTGTGTCAGCAGCCTTTGATGTCTGAATTTTTATCAGTGTGACTAATTTTGCATTTCTGGCTTACAACAGTCACTTAAACTATGTTTACTATTGTTTAATAGTGAACTTGCCCATAATTTGTACACGCAATTATCTTGAAACTTGGACTTTTTTTTTTATCCTTCACAGGAGATGGAATTTAATCACGACTTTCTAACAGCTCCGTCAATTGTATGATTATTTACCATCCTTGCCACAGATCTAGGCCATGGTTTAAATTTTTGGGGTTAACTTTTACCTATAGATTACGATGAAAGTTCTCTTCAAGGGATTTGCCTTGATACAGGTTAACGCTCTTGATCCAAGGTATTATAATACTCTTCCTCTGATAAAACTGAGTTTCCCCGTTTCCCAGACGCTATTACCTCTACGTCTTTGGTGCTTTCCAGTGAGTAAAAAACAATAACTTATGCTGGCTTAAACCGGGGGTTTAACCGGCTCTCATGTAGGGAAAAATCCATGGAACCCATGACGCAAGTCCCCCACCTGTCCCCCCCCCCCCATCCGTGATTGACATACAAGATCATAATAAAGGTTCATTGCGTGGATTTTGAACTATATTTGAATAAAGTTGACTGGTTGCATGATCAGATGCATGAAGGGGTGCCTTCTTGCTGGCGAGGCTTCAGATCCAAGGAACTGGATTTGTCCTTTTCTTAGGTAGTCTAAATTACTCTCATTCCTGAGGCACTGTATGCCTCGTATGGGTTTAGTGCTTCCTTCTAATGAAAATAAGCCATGTTTTGGGGAACTATAGATTGTATCCTTTAAAGGTGGTGACAGTGAAGGTATATTCATTATGGGGGGTAGGGGGAATTACCCTTCTGGAGGGGAGTGCCTGGAAAGTAAAGGCATCTTTTCCCTTCTGGGTGTTAGATGCTGGTGAATAATGTTGATGTTATAGATTGGTGTTAAGCTCTTCTCTTTTTTATATACAAGTTTACAAATGTATAAATGTAAATATTTAACACTCCCTCCTAAATATGTGTATGTATGCATATATTCATCATTAGGTATCTATATAATATATTCCTGTAACCTTAAGATCTTCATGTGATGAGCGTATTAATACCAAGACAAATAGTAGTCTTGCAGTGGGTTGGGGTAGAGGGATGCTACCCCCAGGAAGACAGGCATAGTGCCAACTCTGCTAGAGCCCCACCCTGCTTATCAATAACAGAGTAGACTTTTAACCCTCTTGGTAGACAGAGTTGTCTTTAGTCACAGGCTACTGAAATTGACTTTGCCTCTGCACCCACCTCTTAACCTATGCATCCCCTTACCATGCAAGTCTTAATTGTCCCTCATGAGTTGAGCACTTCTTTAATGTATACTGACAAATGTGAACATTTCTTAGTGCACTTCCAGGGGGCCACAGCCTCTCTTTTTCCACTTTCACAAACAGTTCGGCAATTCTTATTAGACGAGGCAAAAGGCCAATACTGACTTAAACATCATGATTGAAGGATTAAGTCCTTGTTTTAATGGTAATAGACAAACTTCTTTGGAGGACTGAAATGTGTACAGCACAGTGCATAAGACTGCTAAGTACATTTCTTATAGAAAAGTTTTTGAAGATTCTTTAAAAAAAAAACCACTGCATGTATACTTGGCATGACAACAGTAGATACTAAGAGCATTCACCGATCTTAATGTTCTTATTGTTTGTGACGGACAACAGGCTAGCAGAAATAATTTTTTTTTTTTATATTTTATTGAAAACTTACATGGTACCAAAATATAGACATAAAAACTGTTTTTGTCAAAAGACAAGAAAACAAAACTTACACAATTTATAATCTCACCACAAAATATACCTAATCCATTGAACTAAACCCTTACACTATAGTATCTCTCTCTCAATCCCTTTCAATGTGCAGGATGATAAACCCTTGCAGCCACATAATAGTGGTAACCCCCCCCCCCTTTTCATGTACTTAGCCTGAAACAATGTACATTTATACACATGACATGACAAAAGTGTATAACCTAAATCAAAAAGAATCATGTTATTTTTTTGACAGTTAGTACATACAAACTAACAGATCTTAGCATTTACTAACTTACATTTTATAAAAGTTATAAATAACTAAAAACTAACAAACAACTAACAAAATATGAAAAATTGTTCAAATAAATGGACCAACAATAACTTTTACACAATACAAAAACGTCAAAAACATCTTATGCTAAATATAAAAGTTTTATACAATGTTAGATTCAGTACTAAGTCTAGTATATACACTTCATGCAAACTTATAGATGTATTATGCCTTTAAATCTAAAGCCATTTAAACAATGTTCCAGAGCAATATCAGACTTACTCTGTCATGCACTAAGTTACACAATATAACTTATGGCTCCTAATAAAACATGAACCGGGCAGTACTACCTCAATCATGAACAAAACCAACCTGGCAAAAGACACTTCAGAAAGCCACCCCCTGCCATCCCCTGACCCCATGCTATCTGTATTAAAAAAAAAACACAAACTCACGTTCCCTTCCATGCTCACGTTCGTACCTGACGTCGAAAGTCATAAAACCCCTGTCTCAACCAAATGTCACCAGTTCACCCCCCCCTACGCGCCCCCCCCCCCTTTCCTAACGACTTTACACCCATATGCTCCACTACCACACACTTTTATTCCACCTTCCATCCTCCACTAATCTCAAAAAAGAACAAAAATGCCAGTTTAGGGAGAACCAGCCCAATCCAGCTCTAAACTACACCCAACCCTAACATTACACCTACCGATAGATTACGATAAC